TTATATTCATTTTTGCTTGATTTATTCCTGTTTCTATCTACCGTAAAGTGCCAACTGATGTATCCGGATATTTACAACTATACATCTTATATTGCCACATACATTTACTTAAATAACGATATACAATTATTCACACGAAAATTCGATATCTATGCATTTAAAAGACTGAATTAAACACAATATGACTAATAATTTTACGCAAATTAGCCTAAATAATCGATTATAAAATATTTACCGATTTGATTCATTAGTTTCGATTCTGAATCTGAATCGTTATTAAACGATATTTCTTTCTCGAATTCTTTTAGTTGCTTATAAAAACCTGCATTTGGTCTACGATAAATAAGAAAAGTTAAATATAGTAATTGTGTTATAAATGTTTTAAATAAGAACTTGTTAGTTACTAACAGAACAATTGGTCTTTTTTCTTGAACTAAGGCTAACGCATTTTTTAGTGACTTCTTCTGAGATTTCATTATATAAGCAATAACAACTTTTTTCGCAAAAAAAAAAAAAAAGTTAGAGATATTAAAATTTAACGTGTTAATCTAACACTTAAGTGCATACCACTTGGGCTACGTGAAATACCCATTTCGCTATTTGATAAACATATGTTACTTCAAATAATTCTATAGCAAAATCTAAAAGTCAAATCAGACGTACCAATGAACAAGAATACTTCTATCTTCTTGATCTAAAACATTTTGAATAAACATAAATGTTTCTTCGAAATATTTTGATATGTTTTGAAATTCGCTATCTTTTATTGAGACCACTTTATACACGAATGACTAATTTAAACAGGCTTTTGAGTCATCAATATTTTTGACAAAGTTAAAAAAAAAAAACCGAAAAATAACATTTTGTAAATTACGTCAGGAAAACGAGGCCTAATGTTTGTAGAAATAGTAAGAATATTTGTAATTTTATGATACTTCAACCAATCTTTGTTTAAAGCTGCTCGTTTACTGTACTCAATAGAGGAATCATGAAATCAATTTTAAGCTTAACTTTAATATAAACAAATTTTTTTTTATTTTACAACCTTCCCAAATACAGCCTTGGAAGAATTTCTACAGCAAAATCACCAATAAATTGTTTAATGCCTAAATTTTCGTTTAATTGTTTAATTTGCGATTCAACACCTAAATTTCCATTTGTCAATGATAGTTTCATAACATCGCCATCATTGTCTTTTAAATCTCTTTATAATGAAAATACTCAATGAGTAATAGACAAAGTACAACATATATGCTAAAATATTTACATACCTGGTATATGAATTGTCTGATGACATTTTTTTTTTTATGAATAAAATTTATCGCAAAAGAAACAATTTATAAAAATCACTTCTATCGGACTTCGGAAATGGATGTGGAAATATGAACAAATTGTTGCACATATCGAAATGCAGGAGTGAGCTATTTTTGGATAGTTGCACATATGAAATGCTGTCCAACCACATCATTTTTTGTATAACTGTATACCTTATTGCCCAATAACGATAACTAAAAATGGACAATATAGTAATTTTTAAGAATAAATACACCAATAACTAAGTATAAATACACTAATAACTAAGTATAATTTTATGAAATTGATTTTAAACTGCTTAGAAAAATATATTGTATTGTGATGTTTAGTTGAAATACCCTATTAAGTCAAATATTTAGACAATTTTGTGTCGAAATATACTTCGGCATGACATTATTTTTTGTCGAAATCTCAAATTCTAATTTGACTAAATGTCTAAATAGTTGACTAAATAAATACTATATGACTAAATGTCTAAATTAATGGTAGAGAGTTTGTACATTAAAAGTAATTGATTTTTGAATTGATAGTTATCCAGATTCGAGTTATAAACATTTAGCATAGTGAGTACTATGTGAAAAAAAGCACGCATAACAGGTGGAAAAATTTTCAAGCTGATATCGTTTAGTAAAGTATATACTGTATAATTAAACCCGCTTGATAGAGGCACGCAACCGTTTTTAGATCAAATTTATTTTTAAGCAGCATAAAATCCACAAAATAAGCGATTTCTGATACAATAAGTTTATATATATATATTTTTTTAATTTACATTTCGACATTAATTAAACACTTTGACGTTATTTAGACATTTCGAGAAATTCAGCATTATTTTAGTATTTCGGTAGATTAAATATCAAATGTCGAAATATTTCTATATGCAAAAATAAATCGGCTAACAACATTACTGTATCGATATCGTTGCTAAAAAGTAAAAATGAGCAAAACAGAATATAGTATTTTCTTTTCGAATTTAAAGTGCTCTCGATTTTTTTTTAGAAATTACATGTATAAGCTAATACCGTAAAGTGCCATACGATAGATCCCCCTATGAGTTGTACCCGGGGGTATTCTGCGGATAAGAATTCTATTTATATCCGCATGCTATTCATATTATATATATAATAATAGCATCTTTACACTTCGAAGAATATCTAGCTGGTGTAAAACATTGAAGACTGATAAAGTTGAATGAGAAATGTACAGCGGGTATATCTCTAATCTTTGTAAATATCCGGATACATCAGTTGGCACTTTACGGTAGATAGAAACAGGAATAAATCAAGCAAAAATGAATATAA